CGATAAACAACTTGTGCATGTGATGCACATGATTGATCAAAATCATGAGGTCATCAAAATGATCAATTATATATTAATAAGTGTCAGGATAAGGTACTATGATAATTTTAAGGAATCATTAATAAGATCAATTACAATAATATACAGTAAGAGTCAAACGATCGTATGATAGTATGAGCAAATTATGATGTAAGTAATGTGATCTGAAGCATATATAAGTAAAGCAAATGTAATAGTAGTAAAGAAGTTGGTTAGTGAGTGTTAGTCTCTCTTAATTAATAAAATAAACACTTAATAAATAAAGTAACAGTACATAATAAAACACTTGCCTTATTGAGTTCAGTTCATTTAGTGCCTAGTTTTTAGTGCCTACCAACTGGATTAGGTTATTCTTTGATGAAAGTCATTGATTAACCTATGACACGAGGACCTGGGCAAATTACTAGTCTATCTTGCAACGAATTAGTATTGACAGTCCACAAGATAAACATGATATTGATTTACATGAACATGGAGGAAGAGGAAGATACGTGTATTAAAAATGTGGACAAATGTAATGGGATGGCTGGAAGAAGTAGAGACATAATTGCAAACGTGATGATTAACAAAAAAAAAATCAGTAACGATGAAAGCAAAGTATCTGACAAGTATTTGAATTCTGCTGCACCAAATCATGATATAAATTTATTCGAAATATTTTGGGATAATATTGGTGGCAATTCTAATCAAGCTGGATTAGAAATGGAAAATGCTGAAGAAAATGATATTGAAAGTAATGAATCAATTGGTGAGGTGGATGATTGAGGGTTTGATGACTTGGAAGCTGAAGTCTTCTGGTTGTTGTCAGATACGAGAAATGGTGATGATGAATCTGCAGATATCTGGTGTAGTAATGGGACATATGATGTCGGTTATTGTGATCGGAGAGAATTGACTGGCGATGAAGTTGGAGTCGATAAAGAGATTAGTTTAATTGATTTTGATGAATCCAATCAAATAGATGAAAGGGAACCTAAAAGCATGTTTGATGCATTTATTAAACAAGATTTAATTGATTTTTGGGTGTGTTGCAGAGGAGTTGGTAATAAACGATAATGTGAAGAAGGAAATGATTGATGAAAATAGAGAAATAAATGTGGTGGTTAATACCAATAGTAGTAAAATGCATCAAACGAACAATGAGAAATTCGAATCCCTACCTGAGCCAAGTTGTAAAGTGACCTTGTACATTAAATTC